AAAAAATCCCAACAATTTTCTTAAAAAATGTTTATTTTTTGACCAAAAATGAAACCAAAACTTCACATTCAGAATTAAAAAAAAAATTTCAAAAAATGTTCTCTAAATGCCTTAATTTCTTGAGAAACATGCAAGAAAATATAACATTTTGAAAAATAATTTTTCAAATTTTTTTGTCAATATTCAAAAAATGACACAAACATATCATTTTGAAAAATTTGACAAATTTTATAATTTTGGTCAAAAATTAAACGAATTTAACATTTTGACTCAAAATTGTAATTGAAATATATTCTTATTAAATAATTTTTAGTAAGAAATTTCTTTTTTGATATTTTTTTAATATAATCTTTTGTTTTTTAATACTTTTTTGGGAACTTATCAGTATAGTATGTTATTGTGATCAATGATTGATGTAGTGCATTTTTATTCATTTTTGAGAAACCTATTTTTAAAGACTGTATTTCTGTTTTGAATACTTACCCAGATGGATGCACTATAAGTGCAAAGTTATATAATTATGGCTAATTTGTGTATTTTTTTTAATTAAAAATATATTTTTAAGAAAGTTATTATCATAGGTTGTTGATTTTTAACAATAGTTTTAGTTATAAAAAATTCTGAATTTAAACCACAAAAAATTGTCTTAAATGCAAAAATCAAGAACTTAAAAAATGTTAATTGAAACTGAAACACAAGCTGCTATTTTTCTCCGTAAGCATTTTATTAGAAATCCAGTTTTAAAAAAGAATAAAAAAGGAAAACAGGGTGATACATTTATCAGATAGTAAAACCTATCTGTTCTGACCGTATCAGTCCTATCTCAAACCTTATATGAAACATCATCAACAAACACAAAGAAATATTTTAATAAAAATAAAATCAATCAAATGTCTTAAAATATCCATTTTTCTCTTTTAGAAAAATGTGTCTTGTGTAAAAGACAAAAAGCACAAAAATCATCTGCACAGGCAAACAAAATATGTTAACACTGGAATAAAAGGCTGAGAACTATTGTACATCATCTGCATATAATTTGATCCTGACTATTTGTAAAATAATTTTTGATACGTTAAAAGTTGTGAAAGCAAGAATGACATGACCTGGTGGAGTGAGGATGGGGTTGTAGGTTCAAAACCAGTCCCAAATTTGACAAATTTGTTGTGTGTCTATAAATACAACAAAGCTGATTCTACAAATTTTGATTCTCAGCCACGAGATCCTCTCTCCTCATTATTTGACACGACTGATTCAAGATGGAAGAATAAGATAATGCCCCTAAGACAACTCTATACCAAAACAGTCAGTTATGACTTAAAAAAAACATACCAACTGGGAATTTCAACATTCTTTTACATAATTCCTTTTTACATAATTATACATAATTTTACATAATGTTTAAAATTTTCCAGTAATAAATAAAATTAGACATTTTACTTTGGATTTTAGCTTCTAAATTGTTTAATTTCTGAATTTTATTTTCTCACAAACCTCAGTTTAAAAACTCAGTTCAATTATAACTCTCATGGTCAGTATTTTAAATTCAGAATTCTAGAAATTCTGAGTACTACTGGGTAGAGAGTTGTAATTCTGACATTTTTAATCTGAGGTTATTGTCAGGATTCTCAGATTAGAGTTAAATACAACACATTTTGCATAGAATTGTTATCAGATCAAAGTTTTGCATGTAAAGGCAGAGAACACTAATTAACACGTTTTTTTTCAAGATTTTTAAAAAACGTTTTGTTCCTGCAATTAAAAAAATATATATATATTTTTTGTCATCTTTTTACATCAAAGTCAGAATATTAATTCAATGTTAACATCTTTTCACATTAAGTTTTAATTCATTTAAAAAAATATGTTTAACTTTTAATATTTTTTGTTGTGTTTGAAATTCAGTTAAAATGATAAAACAATCAATATTTTAGAGAATTTTTCTTAAATCCTTCTGTTGTATGTGTTTTAATAAATAAGTGATAAAAATTCAGGGATAAAAACAAAAAAGTGTATTATTTTATCCGTTGTCATAACTTTACTTTCAGAACTTTAGACAGAACTTTAAGACTTTGAACTTTAACAATTCTCTCTGTGGCTCCAGTCCCATCCAGACCAGTCTGGACACTGGTCATGTCTAAAGTAACATTGTCTGTTTAATTACAGGTTGTGGTGTAACTGGACTAACCAGGTGAAGTCTTTCGCTCCAGATGCGACGAAGTGAGCACCGCTGTGAGCCTCAGGCGGTGATGGGCATGTTGTCCCTGTAACAGGCCGCTCTCTGTGGCCCACTGTAGCTGCACAGGTCCTGGTAGATGTGGGCCACAGCATCCGACATGTCCAGCTCCTGGTTACTGAAGTAGGGCTGAGAGCGATGCATGTTGAAAGTCTCCAGCAGCTGCTGACAGTTGACTGCAGTGATCTGAGATGGACACAAACAAACGTGTCGACATTAAGGTATTTTTTTTATTTTATTCATTTACTTTTTGTGCTAATTCTATTTAAATTTTAGCTAAATCTGAATAAGCTTTGATAAAATATTTGCATTTTGTGCTGTCTTGAATTTTAATTACCATTCAGCTATTTTTAGAACACATTTTTGGCCTTAAGTGTCAATAATTACTGGCCATAATTTACCTATTTTTTGGTAGCATTTTTCCCTAGTATTTTCAGAGTTTATCAGCTAACAGTTTTTAGGACTAATGGAGAGATCTCTACTATATACATTGTAAAAAAAGTTTTATATTGAACTTTAGTTTAAACTTAAATTAAAAAGTAATATCTAATTGAGAAAAGAAATGGCCTTCATGACCACCCTGCAGTACCTCCATGGACCACTTGGGGGACATTGACCCCCCTGTTGAAGGCTGATGGTCTGTTCAGGAATGCTCTCATAATGTTAACATTTATGAATTACTGTCATTACTAATCAGTTTTAGATGTATTTTTTGGAAACAAACTCTTTGTCTTCAGGGTTTTTTGTTTTGTTTTTTTTTTAGTTTTCACCCAATCAAAGTCCAAAGTGAACAGGTCTTACCTGCACGATCACCAGTTTGCTCTTGGCACTGTTGACATCCTGCAGCTCTTCTCCAAAACAAAGGGTCACAGTTGGGTCAGGAGCAGGAAACTGACCCTGTTTATACAACTGCAGGGCTGCAACAGAAGCAAAGCCGTGAGTACTTCATCGTACAATCCTCTCATCTTCACTCTTTTCTGGATTCATGCATTCAGAATTACCTTGTAGGAACCTCCCTGTGTCAAAAATCTGGACAACAGCGTCCCTCTCCAGTTTGCAGGGCATTTGGCTGTACTGTGAGCCCACCTGGTTCAGCCCACTCCAGAAGACTCTGCTCTGGCACAGACGTTTGATGAAGATGCCCTCCTGGTTTGCCCGGACCAGAATGCCTCTCTCCACGTGGCCCAAAAGTTTTCTGGTGATGTGGCGCTGGCGGTCAAACTCTATGAGCTCGGCGGGAGGGAAATGGACACTCTGCATGATATCTGAACTGTAGAGGGCGCCGCGGCCCAGGTGCTGCTGCTCCGGTGAGATCCTGCATCCATCTGGGTGAGTCACCAGTATGTTCTGCATCAGCTTTCCTCCGTAGTAGAAACTGACCATCATCTGGGTGGACACTGTGGAGATAAACAGATGTAGAGTCTCCGTGTCAGACGTGGACTCTCAACTTCCTCTGTTTTGACATTTTTACTGCTTAGGAGGCGTAATTAGTCAGGCCTTTCTGCTAACTCCCCACTACAACAAACAATCTTCTTTTTCCACCACTGAATATAAAAGAAAAGGGATAACAGATAACATTTACAAAGTACTAAAGAAAAAGATAAATAAAATATTATATTATTTTAAAAAAATATATTTTTAGGTTAGACAAAGTAGCAGGGCAAAAACAAACCAAGATTATATTATGGGTGCTGGGACAGTGAGAAGATTTCAATTTATAAACGGAACCATAATTTAGTAACTCTTAATGAACTACAATCCAACACTTCTTGAAAATATATATAAAAAATAATTTAAAAAATTGTACTATATTGATCCCATATTTGGGAAATTGTTGTGTTGCAGCAAATATACTGTTAACAGGCTGCCACAGCAAGCGCCAAGCATGTGGTTCCTCTGGGAATCGAACCCAGGACTCTCTGCTGCCAAGGCAGCCATGCTAACCGCTACACTATGGAACCAACTAAACACTATGGAATTTGGACAAAAGTCAAACATAACACACACAGTCAACAATCAAAAAAATATATGTAGTGGAAAAATTTGCCAAAAAAAATTACAAGAAATTTCTCTTTGAGACTCATTTTTGCGAGACATTAAAAATGTATCTAAAAAAAGTTGTTCTTCTAATATTTGGTTAAAAAAAAAAAAAAGATAGCAGGCCAGATGTTACTGCAAGTGCTACGATTGGCCCCTCAGATTCACGTCAGTTAAATATCTCTCTAGATGAGTAACAGCTTCTGGAACTAATATTATTTTTGTTTTTCTATCTTTGACCAACTTTAACTCATGGACGTCGTACCTGAGCTGACGGGGCCTGAAGGCAGAGGGTCCTGCTGCGGCGGGAAAGCTGTGAACACCAGATAGAGACATACATGTTTCTGAGTAAATTATAATTATAATTATAATAAACAAATACAACAGAGAAAACAACACAGTGGTGTCATGTCGTCGTTGTTGTTGCTGCTGCATCATCAAAAAATTGGGTTTGTCCAACACCTATGAACTGAATAATTTATTTCCCGACACAACAAAGTCCCGCGGGATGTTAGTCAATCCTTCCATTGCAGAAATCAACAGACAAGCAAATAAGCGGTGTGAGGCGGCAGAGCAGCTGCAGTCACACAGTCACTGTGGTTACTGGTCCACAGTGGCATGAATGTGATGACGGAGCAGACGGAACAACCTACAGTAGTCACAGAGAGAGGGGGAAGAAGATTTACCGTTGATGCTGCTCTGGGACCAGTACTCTGGACTGGCCTGGAAACTGCAGACTTCATCCTGCAGGAGACAACGGGGAATTAAAATGTGTACACTACAGAGAAAATAATTAATAAATATATATGTATACATACATATATATAAATATATACATATATAAATATATATATACATATATATGTATGTATGTATATAATAAATATATATATATAGTAAAATTATATATTTTATAATGTTACAGTGTGTATGTAACATTGCAAGATTTGTTTTTTTTTTTTCGTGGCACAATTTCAATTGTTTACAATTCAATTGTAATTGTTTTGAAATTGGGCCAAATATTTATCGTGGGAAATGTTCTCTTTTTGTCTCAATACATAAAGGACCATTTGGATTATTTCATTCATTCACAACTAGCTTTGAAAGGCTAACTTATAGCATTTGTCACTTTAAAATTTCTATTTAATTAATTTTTTTCTTTTTACAATACTTTTCAATTAGACACATGCAAATTGCATTGGTAAGACCCTTATCTGACACCAAGTGTTTTGGGTTTGAAACCTGTTTTTCTTTTAGTTTTTTTTTTAATCAATTCAGGCTAACATTTGCTTCAGCCAATTAGGCTAACCTTTATATCTATATTTGTCCAGCTACAGGTAAATGTGTTTTTACAAAGGTGTGGACACATCTGACGTGGTGCATGTAGAAAATGCAGTGATATGGCAATGAGTGAAGACGTGACGATGGAGAAGAGACTCACGTCTTTCATCAGCTCGTCCATTTCTGTAGGGCTGCAGTCGGTCATGTCACCGGAGCAGGTGGACGCTGTCAGTGGCATCAGTGAGCTTTTCCCTTCTGTGGGATAAAGAACAGAACATACTGTTGTTATGACACAGACGGTTAATGTGCTCTTCATTACTTTTGTTGTTTTGACTCTGATGTTTTAAATAAAGTTTTTTTTTTTCTTTTTTCATTTTTAAACCTACGTTTTTGCTCCTCCTCCGGGACGAGGCGGTAAACCTTGTAGGGCTCAGAGATGTCCAGCTGCGACCTTTCGGTGACCTCCTCAAAGTCTGGACTTTTGTTGAGGGCACAGCGAAGTCTGGTCTTCCAGGTGGCAGGTTCAGCCTTGTCCCCCTCCTTGAATTTACCTTTAAACACAGCCCAGGCCTGAAGGGGGGAGAAGAGGGAGACGAGGTAAAGAGAGTGAATGATTGGAACAAACAAACAAACAAACAAATATAAGGATTTTATTTATATGTGTTTTGATTTAAATTATTAACTGTTCAAGCTATATATTCCAACAAAGCACTATAATAAGGGATCGTGTTATACATTATACTGTATATGTGTGTGTACACGTATACATATGTATATTCAAACATATATTTATACATATACACACAAATGCAATTTTAACAGCGTCGGATGAATCTGAATTTTTAGACCACCTTAAACCAAAACTGTCCACCTTTAAAGAGTCTAACGTTGAACACTGGTGCCTCTACTGTTAAGCTGTGATACAAAAGTCTGAATATATAAATAAGCCAATAAAGTGAATTTATTCCTTTATTAAAACATTGTCTTAAAAAATCTACCGCATTATACACAGAGTTTACGTAACGTAAGAAGAAAACTTTGTTTTACTTTTTATGCTGCGTAAAATCCTGACTTCAGGTCTGACTTTAACGATGCAGTGATGATAAGACTTAATGTATTTTTATATAATAAGATAAATATTCAAACTAGACCACGTGACGATGCGAAACTACGTCTTAAACAGACGGTGACGATGAATAAAAACAAAAAACAAAAAAAAAAAACATCAGGGCCAGGGTTTGAGGATTCCGGACTTTCTTACGGAGTTCTTTCAGGTTGGATTATTACATAGAGGAAACTTTAATGATCACATCAAAATAAAAAAAAAAAGACTTTTCACTGGTTACTGCGAAACACTTCAAATCTGAAGAGCTGTCAGATCTGAATAAAGATTTTTTCTTTCTCTCGTTTCTGCTGTTTTTTTAAAAAATATATAATTAAACCTCGATTTATTATCAACATTCTATTACGTGTTTTCTTGGGGTTTTTTTTTGGTCAAAGTCCATTGAGATGAAATACATAAGGTGAACTAATTAATTTGTGAAAATAGAGATAAAACTCACGACTGTGTTTTGTTTGGACCAGTGGCGGCAAATATTAGAGTTAAGTTATTCAACATGATGGGCAACTTTTTGGGACCGCGAGCCACTGCGGAAAAATACAAACTGTCGGATTTTGGAAAATGTGACACGAAGAATATTTAAATGATCTCATCATTAAAACATATGAACTTCGATTCTCTCTCTTGATACTGCGTCGAATCAAAATCATCTGATAGTCTCTAAAAAATATAATATATTTTTTCTTTTATAAATAGTAAATACTTGAATAATAATAATAATTGAACTCTAAGGACGGTGATCCACTCGTGTTTTCACGCGTTTTTTTTTTGCGCATCTTTAAACCCAAACCTGTCACTTTACACAGTTCTGTTCAGATTTACCTAAAAAAAAGTACTTAAAAGTAACTGAAAAGTTAAAATCATGACGAATGATAAAGTCGAGTTCACTCGTGTCACTGAATCTAGATAAAGTCGAGTTCACTCGTGTCACTGTGTGGAATCTAAAGCCCCCTCTCCATCTCCACAGTGGTGTCAAACCTTGAAAATAGACGCGTCCACTTCTTGGTTGTAATCCTGTTTCCCCGCGTGTTTCCAGGGGATTCGGAACATGGTGCGGCTCTCGTTCTCCCACTGCAGCCCGGTGTACTGGCCGCTGTGGATCTGCTCCACCAGCCACTGCTTCAACCTGCGACCCCCAGGGTTCGACATCTCCGGGTATTCAAAGTCGTTGTACCTAGACAGTGACGCTGTGATCAGTACAGTGACACGCGTTGTTCAGAAACGTCGTGATGAATTTCCCACGGACTCGACCCGGAGCACGAATGAACAGTGAGGATACTCACGGGCTGATGACGCACAGCTCTCTCTGCTCTCTGTTAACCTGACCTGATAATCCTGGCCCCAGGTTCACCGCGCTGCGCTGTTATGAATGAAAGGAGCCGACGGGGGATTTGACTCCGACCAATCAGTGCCTCGCTGCGTGGGCGCGTGGGCAGGACGAGTGGAGCAGCTCCGCTCCACTTCTTCTAATCGTGCGCGTTTACAAGAAATGGAGTGGGCTGGCTGTGAAGTTTTCTGCCCACGTCCTCTGAACTCATCTGTCAGCAGTCACAAGGTGAGCTGGGCCGGGCTGAGTCGAGGGGAGTTTTGTCCCACCACCAACTGGTCATTGTGAGAAACAGTGGAGTGAACAGGTGCAGCTCCATCAGTCTGCGTGTTGGTGAGGAAGAGAAGAGAGCGCACACATACACACACACACACACACAAACAAAAACAATGATGATGATGATGATAATGATAATAATAATAATAATAATAAGTTAGTAGTGATAATAATTATTATAATAATAATTGTTATATACATCCATCCATCCAACACCCTCTGAACCTTCCTGAGGGTGACATTGCCTCTGGGCCAAAGCACCACAGTTATAAATATGATTATTATTATTATTATTATTATTATTATTATTATTATTATTATTATTATTATTATTATTATTATTATTATTAATGTTGTTTGTGTTATTGTTTACCGTGTTATCATTAACCATTAACCAAATCGTTTAGAAAAATAGAATCATCATCATCATAATCGCTAAAATAACAACAACAACAACAACAACAACAATAATAATAATAATAATAAATCATCAAAACAGAAGAGATCGATGACAATGTTACGCTTCAGGTGCTGCAGGAATGAAAAAGAAAAATAAGCCGAATGACGTCATCAACGGAGACGCAGCTCCGTCTGACGCTGTACAGAAAGACGCAGCTCTGGACGCTCACTTGATGCACCACAACGCCGCCAGCGCTGGGTTTTGGAACCAGCAACCCTCTGATCAAGTTCCTTGGAGGAGAACCTACAATAAAAGACCAAATGTTTATAACTAATGGTTCCATACTGTAGTGATTATCACACACGCAGCCTTACACGCAGAAGGTTCGGGGTTCGAGCCTCAGAGGAACCACATGTTTAACGGTGGCAGCCTGTGTGGGTTCTAAAGACGGACACTGTGGAGTGGACAAATGAGAGACATTAAATCTCATCATGCTGTAGAGTGATTCTCTGAACAATTATAATGTATATGTTTAAACACACATTTGCTCTGCTGCATCACCTTGGTAGTAAAAGTCTGCCTTTGGTGTAATCCCTCTCTGTGTACTACTAGGAGTTGTCACCAGGAAAGGACAGGGGAAAAAAAAGGAGGAACTGAGGGAATTAATTTTTTTGGAGTACGCCATGACTGAGACATGAATCACATGCTGTTGCATTTACGATGTGTTGACAACATAATATCACTTTGAGTGAATAATTATTATTGTGATTATGTTTAGACGAGAGTAAACTCTCAAAAGAAATACGTTTCTGTCTAACTGCTGTTCTACGTAGGTCCAACATCAAATCTATTAAATTGTGATCATTTAAGACTTTAAGTCTATTACTCTGAATTCTAGATTTTTCTTAACAGTGAATAATTAATGAGTAATGTTTGGGGATAATGTGAAATATATGTCATCAGAAGAAGACAAAGACAAGGAGGAATATTCTAAATGAAGTTAATCTTTTTAAACCCGAGTACATCAGAGAGACTTTGATAGTTAAGGTTAAGGTTGATGCTGCACCGGGGAAATGGTTGAAAAGTTCAAGGATACAGTCGATAAAATCAAAACAGTTTCATTTGTACCTTCAGTTACACCTGAAGCCTGGATTTATGGATATGACATTCTACCTTTGGACCGATGACACCGTCGGAGGGAGATGAGTTGGTGATTGCACCGCGAGGTGAAGCTGCTGATTTCAAGGTTTCTCTCACCAGAGAGACATTGGTTCACTGGAATCTACAGGATTAATGATACAGACCAGCAGAAAGAAGAACCTTCCACTGTACTTATTAGGACTTCGTCATGTGACTAACTCCTAATAAGGACAGTTGCATCAGGACACAGACTTGTTTAATGACAGTGTCATAGCCAAACCCTGAGAAAACAAAACTAGCACCTCGTGGAGCGTGGACAGAGTAAGGTGGGGGAGGGAAGAGAAGGAATTTCCAGGTCTGGGGTCTTACAGTCAACAGACGGACTTCCTGGTCCTGTTCGTGTAGGATCTTCTGCCAAGTCCAACAAAAACCCTAGATCAGAGACAAGGGAAGCGCTCCATCTCCAGCATGTTCTTCATGGCCTGTAAGGGGATCATCCTGAACCGGAGCTTCTGGTGGAAGACAGTGGCAAAACTCCTAACTGGGAATCAAAAAGATACATTATTTAAGTCCTAGATGTAAACTTCATGTGAGGGGCCAAACCAAGTGGGTACTGGGACTGGGAGGAGAAGACTTGGGGTTCCCCTGAGGAGAGTGTTGAAAGACCCAAACCCTTTGAAAAACCACTGATGATGTGGATCAGTTCAGTCTTTGTACCACACCAAGCACAGACCACCAACCCATAATCTAGGCTCTTGGAGACCCAGATCCTCCATACACATCGATCAACTTGAGTTCAAATGTCTAGTTCTTTCGCACATCAATACAAAGAGCAATCTGCCGCCCCCCCCGCCCCCACACACACACACACATACTCTTGTAAATGAACTGTTACCTTTTTTCTAGAGGAACAACTTACTCAACTCTACCTACTGTACCACAGCCGCCCACATGGCTAGACAGACAGAGGTTAATCGTCGACGCAGAAATACCAGCATGTTAAAAGGTCTCATTGATTACTTCCATATTTTGTCAAGTCACTAAATTTATTGTGATTAAACAAAAACCATAAATACACAGTACGCACAAAAGTATAAAGCAAAAAAAATTTTTTTTGTGAAAGTAAAAAAATAAATCCAAGCTTTATTAGCAATCAGGCGACAGCAGAGATCCTTCATTTGTACACACTTTTACTTGTACATTTACTAATGGATTTTCCTAAAGGAACTTTCTGCCTTTTGCTGACCACTGATTGTAAATGTGTGTCACAAGCATTGACCCATGTGAGTGTGTGTTATTTGCTTCAAATCAATAGCAAAATAACATATAAAAAGTGGAGATGTCGATGACTTCCTGCTCCATTGACCTTTGAGTCAGAAAAAAGACAGTGTTTGATTTTGAAAAAGGAAGCAACGTTTTGTTGATATGAGAGAGTTTTTGGACAGCTGTGAAGTCAGCATTTTGAAAACAATCTTTTCGAAAGTGAATTATTTTTGCTGTTGTGAACAGAAGCATGCATGTAGTGATAGAGAAAATTTTTTTTTTCTGTCCTAAGAGACAGACACAAATGGCAGTGATGTGCTGACACAGACCGTTAATAAGAAATGGATGCAGTGATCAGGTTTGGAAACAAACTCCACTGAAGAAAACATTAGATTCTCCACACCTTGTGAGGCACCATAGTGGTTGAGAAACAATCATTTACCTGTGATGCCCGCAGCCTCGTTCCAGTGTTAGCCAACCGTTAGCCACCAAAGAGCTTTCACGTAGCCTAAGCGTGGGTGAATGTTAGAAACTTAGAGAAAAATAGAAATACAATTTAGCAGGAAATGGTTAAAAAGTACAAAAGGATAGCATCATGTTGGCACAGTTAGCAAAAAGTCAATTACATAGAGCCAACTGTATCACAAATTATATAAGGTTTAACTCAGGGATAGCAACATGTCATCCAAAATATATCAACAGTGGCTGTTTGCAATTGGCCAGAGATTGTAAGAAATTAACCTTACATGTGATTTGTGATATCTAAAGGAAATTAGTGACAATAATATATAGGGCAATATTTATTGCAATTTTATTAAAACAGCCTAAAGTGATGTAGTCAAAAGATGGTTAAAAATTACCTTGGAATTTAAAATCAGCCGATTATAAAGGTAAAGGTTAGCCAAAGAGAAGTATTAGAATTGATTATCCATCCCACTCAACAACATCATCATTTAAATAAACTGTCTAAATAAACACAATGTCTTCTGAACAAAACCAGGAACCAGTTCTGAGCATTTTCTTCTAGTTCCACATTAGCAACAGGATACCAACGCCCATTTCTTATATATGGTCTGTGTTTACGTTGACACTATAAAAATGGTTGTATATTTGCTTGCGAAAAGGCTGACTGTTCCTTTAAGACACCATTAAACCTTGAGGCTTTAATAACAAACAGCATATTGCAGGTGCACTGTGATCACATGGACATACAGTGGTGTAATAATCATGGCTAAGGTGCTGAGGTGATTAGAGTAAGGCTTCCGTGAGCACTCATACTGTGGCTATACTCTGGTGAAAGAGGGAACGGGAGGTACTGTTGGTGACACGGGAGTCTGTAGTACAATTCCAAACCAAACTCCATGGCTTAAAGTGTCAAAGTAAAACGTCTTGGCTTATACATGAGGATATGTTTCATTCTGTGCTTTCAGTGATATGCAGTATAACATTGAGGTTAATTTGGAATTAGAGCGTTACAGCGTNCCCCGCCCCCTGCCACTCCTAGAAGACGTGGGCCGGGACTCTGGGGCAGCAGACGTAGGCCCAAGGCTTCAGCTGCTACCTTCACGATCACCTGAGTGAGACGGCAGGGTACTGACGTTTATGTCCTGATTTATCCAGCCCTGGTCCTCTCTTCCTCTCCTCTGACTGGCCTGCTGCTCCAGGTACTGGCTGAGCAGGGCAGCCACCTGCTCCTGGTCGTTGAACGGACATGGACGGAAACTGGATTTTAACCACTGTCTGTACTGGAGACACGAAGAGAGATATTAAATCAGTCTGTTAGTGCGTCAAGGTATTTGGACATTCTGGAAAAGCAGCAGCAGAAAGTGAAAATGAAAATATCACTGGTGACAATGATGACATGCAGTGAAATGTTCTTCCACAGTCACACACATGTTTTACCTAAGATCACAAGATTATTTATTTATTTGATTCTCGTTAACAGTTTTGCAATTAAATGTATTCTGTACATTCCTAATTAGCAAAACACATATACTGCTTTATTTGTATACATATACATGGGTAGGTCTGAACACAGACCCAAGTAGATGTTACAATTTATCTTTTCTACGTAAAAGATCCTGGTCGTTGAACGGACATGGACGGAAACTAGACTTTAACCAGATATTAAATCAGTCTGTTAGTGAGCTCCAGTTTATACAGTCTTTGGAGGAAGAGTGAATTTCAGCTGCATTTGTTTTTGACATTTCATTGACACTTGCCCTCTAACATTTGGTCGTATGTCTTTATCTTTAGTTCTGTGAGTTTAACGGAGCCGCCTGAGCCAATACTGGTCAGATGGAAAATTCTTCTTCCACAACCTCCACTCCCTGTTTGATGCCTGGTTTTCATCTGCCTTTTATCATCTAAACATGCAACTAACAGTTCAGTGGGTTAGATCATCACAGCAGGTGAGACGTTGACCTTCTCCTCTAGTGTTCTCATGAGAAACGTCTTATAAGCCTTCTCCTTACAAATTCAATTTATTTTTAAACTACATTCATATAAAATAACAAAAAAAAAATTCTCTATGTTTTATTTTCCATCACATATTCATGCTTCAAACCAATGTTTTCTTGACTCCTAAATGAAATCTTAGTTAAATACCACGGATGAGAAAGAGAAACAAAAACAAACCAGGATTGTGTCCCTCACTCCTCCTCTCCTTACTTAGGGCAAAGGCCTGAGGAGTGGTAGTAAGGTGGAGCCACCCAGTCATGCGGTTGGGACTGATACAACCATCAACCCTTGTGACACCACAAAGCAGGTGATGAAGCAGTAAAAATAGTTTGTTTGTTTAGAGGAACTTTTCCAAATGTTAATTGTTGTTAATTGTAAAGTTGTTAGTTGTTAGTTTTGTTCAAACAAGATGATGTTAAAAACAGACCTAAAACATCTCAAATGATTTCCAGGAATTCCTTTTTGTGCAACTTCTTATTATTTACAAAATTCAATGAAGTGAAAGTCAATATTGCACTCTTCCTCCTTGTCCACAAAGAAGACTCAGGAAGGAAAACAGTACAGTAGTGAGTCATGGGACCAAGTACTCTGAGAGGAACCACGGTGTAAAGATAACAACAAGAGGACACGGACGTCAAGGTATTTGGTCATTCTGGAAAAGCAGCAGCAGCAAGTGAAAATGAAAATACCACTGGTGACAGTGATGACATGCCGTGAAATGCCCTTCCACGGTCACACATATGTTTTACCTAAGATCACAAGATAATTAAAAAAAGTTTAAACTTGACCTCAGAGAAAGGATGTGAATACAAACCTTATATACACATGGGGTCTGAAAACAAACCAAACAAACGTCATAATTTATCTTTTCTTAGGCTGTCACTCAATTACAGTTTTTTAATCAGAAAAATTACAGGGTAGATATTTATTAATCACGATTAATTGTGATTAATCATAATTTACACTATTAGCGACAAATCCAAATAATGAATTAACTGATAGTGAAAGGGGTATAAGTGTGATTTGATTCCCACCAAATCCTGCCCATTCTCCAACTGCTTCAACAGGTTTTATCATTGTATCTTTGTTTGATAATAATTTAATTATTTGTTATGTAATATAATGACATGTCTGGCAGATTAAGACTCAGAGTGCACAGTAAACATCTGCAGCCTGAAAAACATCTGTTATCGTAGAGATCCACAATTAACTTACAACACATGACTTTTGTTTAAATGACACAAAAGTCACCACTGAACCTGAAGACACAAATTAGGGTTCTACTTTCACCTTGGTTTTTTTTTTGGCTATTGCATAAAAGCCTTCAGGTATTGATAAATCCTGTTTTTTAGTCCAGTACTCTACTGTTGTTTGTCTAGTATGTTTCCTTAAAGCTGACTGTGTACATACTGTACAACCAGACTCGGTCTTAATAAAATCTAAAAACTTGTAGGAAAGTTCGCAGTTGTCAAGAGTCATCGCTGTGATGTTGTGAAATAAACAATCTGACTCAAAGCAGTGTGGTCAA